CACAAAGATGGGAAGAAACCAGCGCAAAAAGGAGGAAAACACCCGAAACCAGAAGACCTTGCCTCCTAGAAATAACCAAAACTCCTCACCAGCAAGGGAACAAAGCTGGACAGAGAATGACTGTGATGAAATGATGGAACCAGACTTCAGAAGGTGCGTAATGAGAAACTTCTGTGAGCTAAAAGAACATGTTCTTAATCAATGTAAAGAAACTAAGAACCTTGAAAAAAAATTTGAAAAAGATTCGAGGAAATGATAACAAGAATGGATAACTTAGAGAGGAATATGAATTGAAGGAGCTGAAAAACACAATATGAGAACTTCGTGAAGCATGCACAAGTCTCAACAGCCAAATTGACCAAGCAGAAGAAAGAATATCAGAAGTCGAAGATCAACTCAATGAAATAAAACGAGAAACCAAGATTAGACAAAAAAATGCAAAAAGGAATGAACAAAGTCTCCAAGAAATGTAAGACTATGTGAAGAGACCTAACCTACATTTGATAGGTGTATCTGAATGTGACGAAGAGAAGAATCCATGCTGGAAAATACTTTTCAGGATATTATCCAGGAAAATTTCCCCAACCTAGCAAGGCAGGCCAACACCCAAATCCAGGAAATACAAAGAAGACCACAAAGATATTCCACAAGAAGAGCAACCCCAAGGCACATAATCGTCAGATTCACCAGGGTTGAAATGCAGGAGAAAATACTAAGGGCAGCCAGAGAGAGAAAGGTTGGGGCAGCCAGAGAGAGAAAGGTTGGGTCACCCACAAAAGGAAGCCCATCAGACTCACAGCAGATCTCTCGGCAGAAACTCTGCAAGCCAGGAGAGAGTGGGAGCCAATATTCAACATCCTTAAAGAAAAGAACTTTCAACCCAAAATACATATCCAGCCAAACTAAGCTTCATAAGTGAAGGAAAAATAAAATCCTTTGCGAACAAGCAAGTACTAAGAGAGTTTGTCATCACCAGGCCTGCTTTACAAAAGCTTCTGAAAGAGGCACTACACATAGAAAGAAACAACCAGTACCAGCCATTCCAAAAGCATACCAAATGCTAAAGAGCACCAACAAAATGAAGAATCTACATCAACTAACGGGCAAAACAGCCAGCTAGCATCAAAATGGCAGTATCAAATTCACACATAACAATATTAACCCTAAATGTAAATGGGCTAAATGCACCAATCAAAAGACACAGACTGGCAAATTGGATAAAAAAACAAAACCCATCAGTGTGCTGTATCCAAGAAACCCATCTCACATGCAAGGATACACAAAGGCTCAAAATAAAGGGATTGAGGAAGATTTACCAAGCAAATGGAGAGCAGAAAAAAAAAAAAGCAGGAGTTGCAATTCTCATCTCTGATAAAACAGAATTTAAAGGAACAAAGATCAAAAGAGACAAAGAAGGTCATTACATAATGGTAAAAGGATCGATAGAACAAGAAGAGCTAACAATCCTAAATATATATGGACCCAATACAGGAACACCCAGATATATATATAACTTGCCTTATAAGGCAAGTTCTTAATGACTTACAAAGAGACTTAGACTCCCACACAATAATAGTGGGAGACTTTAACACTTCACTGTCAATATTAGACAGATCAATCAGACAGAAAATTAACAAGGATATCCAGGGCTTGAACTCAGACCTGGAACGAGCAAACCAGATACAAGCAAACATGTAAAGAACTCTCCACCCCAAATCCACAGAATATACATTTTTCTCAGCACCACATCACACCTACTCTAAAACTGACCACATAATTGGAAGTAAAGCACTCCTCACCAAATGCAAAACAACGGAAATCATAACAAACAATCTCTCAGACCATAGTGCAATCAGGTTAGAACTCAGAATTCAGAAACTAACCCAGAACCACACAGCTTCATGGAAACTGAACAACGGCTCTTGAATGTTGACTGAATAAACAATGAAATGAAGGCAGAAATAAAGAAGTCCTTTGAAACCAACGAGAATAAAGACACAACATACCAGAATCTCTGGGACACATTTAAAGCAGTCTCTAGAGGAAAATATATCACAATAAGTACCCATATGAGAACAGTGGAGAGATCCAAAATTGACACCTTATCGTCAAAATTGAAAGAGCTAGAGGAGCAAGATCAAAAAAACTCAAAACCTAGCAGAAGACAAGAAATAACTAAGATCAGAGCAGAACTGAAGGAGATAGAGACATGAAAAATTCTTCAGAAAATCAATAAATTCAAAGCTGGTTTTTTGAAAATATCAACAAAATAGACAGACCACTAGCCAGATTGATAAAAAAGAAAAGAGAGAACAACCGAATAGATGCAATGAAAAAGGATAAAGGGGAAATCACCACAGATTCCACAGAAATTCAGACCATCATCAGAGAATATTACAAACAACTCTATGCACATAAACTAGTAAACCTGAAAGAAATGGTTAAATTCCTGGACACCTGTGTCCTCCGAAGCCTAAACCAGGAGGAAGCCGAAACTATGAATAGACCAATAACAAGGTCTGAAGTCGAGGCAGCAATTAAGAGCCTACCACACAAAAAAAGTCCAGGTCCAGATGGGTTCACAGCCGAATTCTACCAGACACACAAAGAGGAGCTGGTACCATTTTTTCTGAAACTATTCCAAATAATCCAAAAAGAAGGAATCCTTCCCAAATCATTTTACGAGACCAACATCATCCTGATACCAAAACCCGGCAGAGACCCAACAAGAAAAGAAAACTTCAGGCCAATATCCATGATGAACATAGATGCAAAAATCTTCAATAAAATACAGGCAAGCCAATTGCAACAGCACATCAAAAAACGTATCCATCATGATCAAGTAGGATTCATCCCGGGGATGCCAGGCTGGTTCAACATACACAAGTCTATAAACGTAATTCACATAAACAGAACCAAAAACAAAAACCACATGATTATCTCAATTGACACAGAGAAGGCCTGTGACGAAATTCAACAGTGCTTTATGCTAAAAACCCTCAATAAACTCAGTATCAGTGGAACGTATCGCAAAGTAATAAAAGCTATTTATGACAAACCAACAGCCAGTATCATACTGGATGGGCAAAAACTGGAAGCATTCCCTTTGAAATCCGACACTAGACAAGGATGCCCTCTCTGACTCCTATTCAATATAGTACTGGAAGTTCTAGCAAGAGCAATCAGGCAAGAAAAAGAAATAAAGCGTATTCAAATAGGAAAGGTGGAAGCCAAATTGTCTCTATTTGCAGACGACATGATAGTATACCTAGAAGACCCCATCGTCTCAGCCCAAAAACTCCTGAAACTGATAAGCAACTTCAGCAAAGTCTCGGGATATAAAATCAATGTGCAAAAATCACAAGCATTCGTCTACACCAATAACAGACTTAAAGAAAGCCAAATCAAGAACGAACTGCCATTCACAATTGCTAGAAAAAGAATAAAATACCTAGGAATACAACTCACAAGGAACGTAAGGGACCTCTTCAAGGAAAACTACAAACCACTGCTCAACGAAATAAGAGAGGACATAAACAGATGGAAAAACATTTCATGTTCATGGTTAGGAAGTATTAATATCGTGAAAATGGCTATACTGCCCAAAGTAATTTAGAGAATCAACGCTATCGCCATCAAGCTACCATTGACTTTCTTCACAGAACTGGAGAAAACCACCATGAACTTCATATGGAACCAAAAGAGAGCCCGCATAGCCAAGTCAATTCTAAGCAAAAAGAACACAGCGGGGGGCATCACACTACCAGATTTCAAGTTATACTACAAGGCTACAGTAATCAAAACAGCATGGTACTGGTACCAAAACAGAGATATAGACCAATGGAACAAAACAGAGGCATTGGAGGAACACAACATGTCTACAACCATACAATCTTTGACAAACCTGACAAAAACAAGCAATGGGGAAAGGATTCCCTGTTTAATACATGGTGTTGGGAAAACTAGCTAGCCATTTGCAGAAAGCAGAAACTGGACCCCTTTCTGACACCTTATACTAAAATTAACTCCAGATGGATTAAAGACTTAAACATAAGACCTGGCACCATAAAAACCCTAGAAGAAAATCTAGGCAACACCATTCAGGACATAGGAGTAGGCAAGGACTTCATGAACAAAACACCAAAAGCATTGGCAACAAAAGCCAAAATAGACAAATGGGACCTAATGAAACTCCACAGCCTCTGCGCGGCAAAAGAAACAGTCACTAGAGTGAATCAGCAACCAACAGAATGGGAAAAAATTTTTGCAGTCTACCCATCTGACAAAGGGCTGATATCCAGAATTTACAAAGAACTCAAACAGATTTACAGGAAAAAAACAAACAAGCCCATTCAAAAATGGGCAAAGGATATGAACAGACACTTTACAAAAGAAGATATACATGAGGCCAACAAACATATAAAAAAATGCTCATTATCACTGGTCATTAGAGAGATGCAAATCAAAACCACTTGAGATACCATCTCATGCCAGTTAGAATGGCGATCATTAAAAAATCTGGAGACAACAGATGCTGGAGAGGATGTGGAGAAATAGGAACACGTTTACACTGTTGATGGGAGTGTAAATTAGTTCAACCATTGTGGAAGACAGTGTGGCGATTCCTCAAGGCCTTAGAAATAGAAATTCCATTTGACCCAGCAATCCCATTACTGGGTATATATCCAAAGGACTATAAATCGTTCTACTATAAGGACACATGTACACGAATGTTCATTGCAGCACTGTTTACAATAGCAAAGACCTGGAACCAACCCAAATGCCCAATGATGATAGACTGGACTGGGAAAATGTGGCACATATACACCATGGAATATTATGCAGCAATCAAAAATGATGAGTTCATGTCATTTTAGGGACATGGATAAATCTGGAGAACATCATTCTCAGCAAACTGACACAAGAACAGAAAATGAAATACCGCATATTCTCCCTCGTAGGTGGGTGATGAAAAATGAGAACACATGGACACAGGGAAGGGAGTACTGAACACTGGGGTTTATTGGGGGGAATAGGGGAGGGACAGCGGCGGGGGGAGATGGGGAGGGATAGCCTGGGGAGAAATGCCAAATGTGGGTGAAGGGGAGGAAGGCAGCAAAACACAGTGCCATATGTGTACCTATGCAACTGTCTTGCATGTTCTGCACATGTACCCCAAAACCTAAAATGCAATAAAAAAATAAAAAAATATGTATTGGGGCTCTTTTCTTGTACTTCTATATTTGAACAAACACACATAGTTTGGTTACAGCTTCTTCAAATAATCAATTTTCCTCTGGCCTTTATGTATTTCCACATAGGAACTAAATGGATTAAATTTTCATTTCTTCCTTTGCTCTTAAAGCCTGAGGATATGTAACAGGAAAGGGCTATAAGGCCAATGGGATACTGAGCGAGCAAAGAATACTAATGGAGAAGGTCCATTTATTATAGGAAACTCAAAGCTGGTTATTTGACATTTATAGTTTATACTCGGCCTACTTCCAGGAATTGAGGTGGCCTCAGTACATCAGGCTGATAGGGAGAAGGAGGAGGGTGGAGATTTGCCATGGCTGTGGGACACAGGCAAATCCAGCTGAAGCAATGTATTCCTCCCAATTTATTACTGGCTTACAAAGACCCTACAGTTTCTTCCTGGAGTTTTGTGCACAAGTACTTTAACTTCTGGAAATCGGTTGCAATGGCCTACAGCCTGGAAAGGCCTTTCCAGGACTGACTTGCTAGAGTCCACAGGAAAACAAGTCTTTGCCTACGCCAAAGGCCTTGAGTTTTTATTGCTGTTTGTATTAGGCTGGTGCAAAGGTAATCACAATTTTTGGTCATTGAAAGTAATGGCAAAAACCGCAATTACATTTGAATGAACCTAATACTTTGTATTCTACCCTTCTTTTACTACATGGTTTTATCTCTCCAGTTGTAAAGTTTAAAACTTGTCCCTACAATAAGACTGTTCACACAGAACCTAGCTATTAGAAACACTAGCTGGTGGGATCACCCTTGCATCCATTAGGGAAGGAAGGTCTGTCAGGAGCACTGGCATTTGTTGGAATGTTACATTATTCTGTCACTTGGCAACATTATTCCCACAGATTCCAAAATCAGGAATCAGTCGCTCTAGCGGTACCGGCTACAGAAGATCATCTTTTTGAATGCGTCCCTGAGCTCTGGGCTCCGGAAGGCGTATATAAAGGGGTCAATGATAGCATTGCACATGATCAACATGCCATTCACCTGGAAGAGAGACATGTAGCAGGCACAGTAGGGGTTACTTGGGCAGAACGTCATTAAGAGGACATGAAGGACAAAGGGGGCCCAGCAGACAATGAAGACCCCAAGCAGGATGGTCAGTGTGATGGCCCCTTTCATGTTGGCTCTGGGAAGGGTGGGGATCTTCCTGGCGTGGGATCGAGCCAGCAGGAACATGTGCACATAAAGGCACAGGATGAAGACCAGCATCAGTGGGAACAGCGACGTGAAGGTGATCACCGTGGGCACTTGATGGGAGAAGATCACCATGGCGATGCCACTCCCTGTGCAGAACGTCCAGATAACTGCAAGAACCACCAGGGTGCGGCGCATAGTCACGATGCTGTGGTACTGCAGTGCATGGAAGATGGTGATGTAGCGGTCGGCGGCGATCACAGACAGGCTGAAGATGGAGCCAAGCAGGGAGAGGATGAACAGGGAGTCAATGATGTCATCAGCTGTGGTTTCGAAACTGCCACGCAGCTTGAGATAGCCCACGTTTCTCAATATGATAAGGATATTTTCCAAGATCTTATATAGGCTGCCCAGCATATCAGAAATGGCCAAGCTACAGATGAAAAAGTACATGGGCGCCTGGAGATTCTTATTCTTGAACACAGCCAGCAGGACGATCAGATTCTCTAAAACTCCAACAATGGAAATTGTGAAAAATATTTCTTCCGGCAAAACCACACGAGGACAGTCAGAATCATTTCTTGCTGTGTTGTTGATGTTTTCATATGGGTTGAAAATGTGCTTCATTTCTCCTGCTTGTGGTTGGGCAGGGATGTTACTTGGACTTGACTTCACAGAAAACTTGGTTGATTGTTCAGGATCTTTTCTTTCTTGTAGCACTTGCTAGAGATCTAAGTTAAAATCTCCCAATCACCTGAAAGAGAGTATGCCGAAATATTAGTTGAAAGTACACTAGAAAATACAAACCAGCTACACTTGCATAAGGAAACTCCATTAGCTTCATAAAAATACAAATAAATCAGTATATTAGAAAGAGCCTGCATACGTATGTTTATTGTAGCACTAGTGACAATAACAAAGATATGGAACCAACCAGTGTTCATCAATGGGTGAAGAGATAAGGAAACTGTGGTACATATACACAATGAAGTACTCTTCAGCTATAAAAAAGAATAAGGTCATGTCTTTTGTAGCAACATGGGTAGAAGTGGAGACCATTATCTAAGTAAAATAACTCAGAAACAGAAAGTCAGATACTACATGTTCTCACTTACATGTGGGAGCTAAATAATGCATACATGTGGACCTAGAGTGTGGAATGGACATTGGAGACTCGGAAGGGTGGGAGGGGGTGGCTGATAAGAAATTTCCTCGTGGGTAACATGTATGTTATTTGGGTGATGGATACACTAGAAGTCCAGGCTTCATCACTACACAATGTATCTATATAACAAAACGGCACTTATACCCCTTACATTTATAAAAATATTTATAAAGTGTTGTAATTTAAGTAAAATAATTTACTGGGCCCTCGCCTTAAGCACTTTGTGAGAAACAGCTTTAGTGGAATTTTGAGCTGAGAGATGATAGCAAAGATTATTCTTTGCGGCCCTACTCTCCCTACCATTTTTCTCATGAACACACGTGAGTGTGGGATGACAGGATGGACAGCAGTTGTGTCCTTGATGAGAAAACAGGTAAAGCAAGGAAAGGTCCATGTGTGAACAGGAGAGCCCACAGCTGCCTTCTCCGACTAGGAGGTGGTGTCTGGGCTCAGCGAACTCAGGAGAGGTTTAGGTCTCTTCCTTCTCACTGCTCGTCTCCCTGGGCCACTGCCTGACCACCCTCAGCCTGTGGGATAATGGCAAGGGTGTGGATGCATCATTCCAAAAGATGACTATGCAATGCACGTTACTGCTTCTGTTTCAAATGTCCAACTCCCGGGACTGATATTTCTGAAGAGTTCTTATCTTCAGTGTGTCTGGGGTGAAGTTGACTGTGGCAGTCGACAGTGGGGGATGCCAGCACCACTCGGTGAGGAAAAGACACTTCCCAGGGAGGACAAATCTGGGAGCACAGCCTGTGATCTGAAGTCCACGGGGAGCCCATCATGGCCTCACTCTAGGGAATCGTCTGGAAAGGAACAAATTCCCTTGTAAAGGACTGGGGCAGAGGTCAACTGCTCAGAGGGAGGTTTGTGAGTTCTGTGGGTGTGGAAGGAGGGGATTGACAGGGAGTAGCTACTGCTAGGGTTCTGCCTGGAATGGCCAATTTACCCTGTTTGCCTGAAACATGGGCAGAGTTTAAAAGCCAGAAGTCCTGCATCCCAGGAACCACCTCAGTCCTGGACAGATGGGAATGAGGCACCTTTGTGCCTCCTTCCCAGGCTTGGGGAAGCCTGTGTGCTGTGTCTCACCTGCTGGGAAGCCTTGGGGTTGGGAGGGGACCTGTGGTGGTCAGTGTTAATGTATCAGCCTCACTGAGCTTCAGGGTACCAGGTATGTGGTGAGACAGTGTTCTGGGTGTGTCTGAGGGTGTTTCTGGATGAGACGCACATTTGAACAGGTTTCTGGGTAAAGCAGAGGCCCTCCAGGATGTGGGTGAGCCTCATTTGATCAGCAGAAGGCCTGAGGAGAACAGAATGGCTCTTCAAGGACTAGGGGGATCCTCCTGCCTGACTGCCTGACGGGGACGATGGCCTCTTCCTGCCTTCCGACTAGCTTGGAAGCGTGAGCTCTTCTTAGGTCTCACACCCGCTGGCTTTCAGACCAGAACACACCATCTACTTTCCTGGGTCTCCAGCTTGCTGGGTGCAGAGCTTGGGACTGCCCAGCCCCATAACTGTGTGTGCCAATTCCCTATAATAAATCTCTTCATGTCTCTACACATCTTCTGTTGGTTCTTTTCCTCTGCAGCATCCTGATTAACATAGGCCCATCCTGGTTAATATAGGGTCCATGCGACAGGGATGGACCATGTATGGAGGCTCTGCTGGGACAGAGATGCCCCATATCTTATGAGTTCATTAAGTGTAATCAGAATTAGTACATATTTCCAATCTCAGATGCATTTGATGGTAAAATTGATGAAAAAAAAGGAAATGTTGAAAGTGGTTGTAACATTTCTTAGAAACAGGGGGTTTGGAAACCCAGCTTCAGTTGCTGTGCATTGCTGACCTGCACCTGCCAATCCTATAAATCCACGAGGAGCCCTGAATTTGGACAGAAATGCAGTGTGCCCATGGGGCCCCTTCAACAGGCCACAATCGACCATTGCTACTGCACATTTGTGGATGCTGCCAAGCTGGTGGTCAGGGCTGCAGGTGGTGTGTGGCCCCATTCTTGGTTAAATGTACAGTGATACGAATTGGTGGACTTTATGAGTGCTCAGCATGACCTGGGCACCATCTAATACTCCACACGCATTCACTCACTCAACCCCCAGGGGAAACCACAGCAGAGAGATTGGGCAACTGCCCAAAGCCACAGTCTGGAGAGGATATGGCAGAGCCTGCCTGTGACCACCGTATCACACTCCTTTCACATGTGGCAAGAGTAACTCCTTGCAAGAGCCAGACACAGCACCCCTACTCCATCACAAACTGCAATAAAATTGACACCAGTCATTTTCCTCTCCACTTGGCCTTTCTCAATGCCAAGTAGAATTTGTAAATTATGCTGCGTTGCTATGCTTCTGTTGTGCCTGCTTAGGGATTGCCTGTAGAACACACTAAATGACAATTAGAAGATGCAAAACTCACTCCATATAAACTTCACAAGAACCTGCTGTGAGGTGGCGCCAATGATCCAAATATTTCAACAATGTCTTTGGCTTAAAGAACTTGGATAGGGGTCTGCACCTGCTGTGTGTCTGGCTCTCACTCCTTCAAAGCCTTCTGCTGTCCCCTCCTGTTTGCTTTTTTGTGTCTTGATTGTTTTTCTTTCTTTTGAGATGGAGTCTTGCTCTGTCACCAGGCTGGAATATAGTGGTGCAATCTCGGCTCACTGTAACCTCTGCCTTCTGGGTTCAAGCGATTCTCCTACCTCAGCCTCCCAAATAGCTGGGACTGCAGGCACACACCACCATGCCCAGCTAATTTTTGTATTTTTAGTAGAGATGGAGTTTCACCATGTTGGCCAGGATGATCTCAATCTCTTGACCTTGTGATCTGCCCGCCTTGGCCTCCCAAAGTCCTGGGGTTACAGGCAAGAGCCACTGTGTCTGGCCAATGTTTTTATTTCTTTACTGCAAACAACACAGTCTAGAGCCCTTCCACCTTCTTCCAGGATTTGTGGTTTTCTGGGCAACAAATGTCCACCCTTCAAGTCCACACTACTTCCCTCTGTCCATACCCTATTGAAACCTGTCTCAAGCTCCTGGGCTCAAGGCATCCTCCCACCTTAGCTTCCAGGGATTACAGATATCCGCCACCCCATCTGGCAGAGTGATCATAAAATCTCAGTCTTTCTTATGTTATTTGAACCTCTGGAGTTAATGTCTGGCCTGAAGACCAAGCTTCATCACCTTGAGCTCGCAGTAAACAAGATCTTAGAAGGCTCTAACTCGGCGGTGCTCCCCGAGAGGCAGAGATGGGAGAGTGGATGAGAAAGGAGAAAAGAGGCAAGTCTTTCACACCTTTAAAATCTGTACCCAGAAGAAACCTGGTTGATTCATTTGCCTGAAGGCATAGGTCTTGGCAGGCAGAGCAGACAATTGAGGCAGTTATAATTTTTCAGGGGACTGCAAGGAAAAGTGAAATCAACTTTTGTTTTTTGGCTGTGAGGGGCAAACAAACCATCAGAGTTAATGGGATCACAGGGCAAAAGAATGTGGTCCCAGATACTCAAATGCATCCCCAAATGTGGCTCACCCTGTTAGATGCTCTTAGCAAAAGTCCAGGGAGCATGGATAACTCTAAAATGAGATTTTTATATAGATTACCATCTTTGACTAAAAAAAAATAAAAATATAATTTTTATATATTTTAAAGGCACTAAGGTTAAGGAGAAGGCTCTGTTATGTGTTAAATTCTTGTTATGTGCCAACTGGTCCTGTGTCCTGTGCTGTGCATGGTGGGTCTCATTTTAAGCCTCTTGACAATGATATAAGGGAGTCCTATTCTCTCTGACTCACCCCTGAGGAGTTGAGGCCGAGAGACCAAGAGACTGGTCTAAAGTCTCATAGGCTTTACGTTGCACAGTTGGGATTTATATCAAGATCTGTTTGGTTCCAAAAATGATTATTCTTAGGGCTTCCATGAATATTCATTTGATAAGGAAGTTTTAATGGCTTTAGTAAAAAATGATTACAAGGTAACTTACAAATCCTAAACCTCTGTATCTGACCAAATCAGGATTTTTTTTTTTTTTGACTCTCTCAGATTTTTAATGAAATTCAGAGAAGAGAAAGACTTGTAGTCCTCTCTTGTGGCTTAGGAAGGATGTTAATGCTGCCGAAAGGCTTTGAGCAGCAGGGCTGCAGGTGTTCTGGGGCCCCTGGGCTGTGTTTTCCAGTTCTGTGGATCTTCCTGAAGGTAAATGAGCAGCACTGTGCCACTTCCCTCTGTGCTGCTGGACATTTTCTTGGATTGCTCTTCTGGAGAAGAGCTGGGGAAGGAGGACTGAGTGATGTTTACCAGAAGCTTTCAAGCCTTTCTAGAGGGCAGTCCTGTAATCCAGGCTTTAGAGAGAGCCAGCCGAGCACTGTGCTCCTGGGCTCTGGGTGCTGGTGGCGGGGCTGTCATGCTGCTGGGGCTGATCTGCAGGCATCGGATGAGGTTCTGGAATCTGCTCTGAGTGAATCAGGAGCACCTCTCAGTGTTCCAGCTTCTGTGCTGCCTTCCTTCCTTGTTTTCACTAGATGCATTTAAGATTTTTCTGTCACTCTTTGAATAGGTTCTACAGCCCAATATACTTATATGGCTATGTGTCTGTATGTGTGGATACATATGAACAGTACAAAGCCTCCCTCCCCACACTCTAGCCATCGGTCTCTTTCTTCTGGAATTTCTTGTGTGTGTGTGTGTGTACGTGCGTATTTGTGTGTGTGTGTGTTTTATTATTATACTTTAAGTTCTGGAGTACATGTGCAGATGGTGCAGGATTGTTACATAGGCATACAAATGCCACGGTGGTTGGTGGTTTGCTGCATCCTTCCCCACCCCCCACTGCCCCTCACCTACATTAGGTATTTATTCTAATGTTATCCCTCCCTATCCCCCCACCCCCTGCTAAGCTTCTGGAATATCTTTATGCATATACCAGCAAACATGAATATGTACATATTCTCTTAGTTGTTAGGGTTTCTGGGAAGCAGAGGCTGAGATGGGATTAGCAATGCCTGTCAAGAACACAGAGGAGTCTGCAGACTGAGAGGCAGGCATGGCCCCTCGGCACACAGGGAAGGGATTGAGTAGGGTGAGTCCCAGCAGCACAGCTCTGAGAACGTTTTCATTTGGCCATGGAAAGGCTGCAAGTCAAAGCTGCCCATGAATATTGGTGGGGAGAGATTTGGAAAACTGAGCTTTCAACTCTTTTCCAATGGCAGGAGATCTGAGTGGCTCACGCCCATGACCAGCATGCCCCACTTCCTGTGCATTGGAAGAGAGCATGTTGTACATTATTTGGTACCTTGCTCTTACCTTGGAAGCTTTCCAAAGGAGGATCACTTCCTCCTCTCACTCCTTTCCTTCCTTCTTCCACACATTCCATTGTATGGATGTATCCCAAGTTATTTAATCTATTCTGTGTTGATAATTATTTGGTTTCCAATATTTTGCTGGGTAAAAATGCTATAATGCATAATCATCTAAGTATTGTTTTACGTGAATCTACATGAGGAACATAATTTTACAGAAATGGAATTGTTGAGTGCAAGTGTGTATACATGGGTGGTTGTGACAGGTGTTCTCGGGCTGCCTTCCATGGGGGCTATCCCAGTTGACATCCTCGCCAGCAATGCATGAGTGCCTGCCCCTTCCCTAGCCTCTTCAATACCGAGTGCTGTCAAGCTTTTGGATTACTGCCAATGACACATCTGGTGGGTGTTTTAGCATCTTGCTTTGATCTATATTCTTGCTGTGGAGTCTGTGACTCCCATTTTGGTGGCTTTGACATCCCAGTTGGGACAAGCACTCACTACTATTCCTGCACTGTCACAGCGTTTTGGCCCTTTGGGTCTTGGGTTCCTACTTCTGCACAAACACATCGATCCATCCCACCTCAACATTCAACTGAGGGAAGCACCGGCATTTGTGCACGACCTGTTCTTATTACTGATTAGTGCTTTTATTTCTTGGTCCTGAACTTGATGAGAGAAGAAAAAGAGTGGAAAAATGAGGAACAAAATAAGCTAAAGATGATCTAATAAAGAGGAGATGAAAATGGGAAATAGGATGCACTAGTCAAATACAAACCAACACACAGGGCCAGGCAGGGTTTTGCATAATTTAAAGGGGCCAGTGGTGGCCTGCGTCCTGAGAGGCCCAGAGTCTGGGGTCAATTCAGGGGACTTTGCCCTCATGCAGGGTCATGGTCGGGGCACTGGGCTAGGGTATGGCTGAGCCCTCCTTGCTGGTGGTTCAGAGCCTCTATGGCAGCTTTTAAGGATGTTGAATATTCCTCTGGTTGCAGGTCAGGATGAAGGTGGTCTGAATGTTGAAAGCCACCCTCTAAAAGGGGAAGAGTTATTGTGACTTTCACTAGAGATTACTAGCTTTGACTCAAACTTAGAAAACAGAGAGTGAAGTGTGGGGAGGGGCAGGTTGGAAAATGTGGGTCTGCTACAAGCATGCAGGACGGGCTGCCCCCACCTCCTTGAAAGCCTACCACTCCCTCCCCACTGGCATCCATCCCTGCTTAGCACAGGTCTCTGGGCAGGGTCTGGTGGTGGTTGGAGCATGGTGACCCATAAGCCCAGCTCACCTTGGCTCATATGCCATCCTCCTCTGCCCGGGCACTCCTTCACTCCTAGATACCTGGCTTGAACAGGGTAGAACACTTTGAAGGACTTGTAATAAAAGTGACAAAAGTGAAAACAAATGAACATTTTTTTTTGAGACGGTCAGAATAACGTTTTTCCAGATGTCTGGGATGTCTCAGTCAAGTGGACATAAAATTAACCATGACAGCAAGGAAGAAAAGAGAGCTATCAACTTTATTTTGAAAGAGAGATATAGAAAGAAATGGAGATGGAGATAGACACAATCTATCTCTCACACACACACACACACACACACACACACACACACACACACATCCCTGTCATCCTAGCTGGAGTACAGTGGTGTGGTCATGGCTCACTGCAGCCTCAACCTCCTGGGCTCAAGTGGTTGTCTGACCCCAGCCTCCCAACATGCTAGGATTGCAGGTGTGAGTCACCTGCCTGGCCCCAAATGACCGATTTGCAAAGATTTATGTGCTTGTTTTGAGGCCTTTTCATAACAGATCTCAGTCTTCAGTTCACGTAGAGAGAACTATATTCCCCTCCAGGAGCCCCCACTGAACGTCCTCTTTTTAGACATAAATACTATTGATTGTTGTGAAATGCTTTGTGACAGCTTCCACATGATTTCTTATTTATTTGAATTCTGAACAACATCCTGGAGTTTATGTTTATATGATTCACGGGTGGTCCTGATCAAGCATTTGTCTTGTTATTCACTGTGGCGTGGGGTGGTGAGATGGCTAATTGGAAGAATATGAGTACCGATAGTACAAATCAGAGAGTAATTTTCTACTCCTGTGCCGTTTGGTTTCTTAGACTCATTTGAAGTGCAGAGCTCCTGCTTTGAAGCTGGTTGATGTGTTTGCTTTGTGTGCTTATGAATATTTATCTGAGCTGTGAAGTAGAAGGGCCTTGAAAGGTGCCCAAGCTCATCAGGTGTGCTGCTAAGAATTCTTTCACTAATGGATTTAGTTTTTGCTCATCTTTCCCTCCATACACAAAAAAGTCTTTAAATTAATCACCGAGCTTTCACTTCCCTCTCCAGGTAATGGAGATCTCAGCTGGCCCAGCTGCCTACTGTGCCTCCCCGATTACTGTCAGTCACTTTGGGGTTTGTGTTGCTTATTGGCTAGAGGGGAGCTTGATTAAAATCAATAACAAAAGAGAAGATTTTAAATGTTATACACAGCTTATGGGTTTTTCTCAAATTATATAGTACAATGCGGAGGGTGAAGATCACTGATGTGGAGAGGCTGAATCTGCAGATATTCGGGCCTGTGATCATGTTTAACTGTATTGCACAGAAGTGATACTGTTCTGGGAAGGGAGATGAATCTGTTTTAAGAATAGATTTGAGGGTGTTCACCAGAGGGATGGCCTAAACAGTATTACATTCGATCCCAACACCTCTTCATGAGGAGGCACTGGCTTCTCGGAGTGTATATTTGAGTGATAGTAAATCTCTGTGTCTCACCTCTGCTCATTCATCTTTCTCTTTAAAAAGATTCCAACATTCAGCTGGGTGTGGTGGCTCATGCCTGTAATCCCAGCACTTTGGGAGGCCAAGGTGGGTGGATCATGAGGTCAGGAGTTCGAGACCAGCCTGATCAACATGGTGAAATCACATCTCTACTAAAAAAAAAAATACAAAAATTAGCTGGGCATGGTGGCACACTCCTGTAACCCCAGCTACTCAGGAGGCTGAGGCGGGAGAATTACCTGAACCTGGGAGGCAGAGGTTGCAGTGAGTCAAGATCATGCCACTGCACTCCAGCTTGGGTGACAGAGGGAGACTCCATCTCAAAAAAAAAGGATTACATATTCTTGGAAACTTTTCAATAATCTTGGAAGAGAAATCTAAGAACCAGAAGTGTGTGTGTGTGTGTGTGTGTGTGTGTGTGTGTGTGTGTGTGAGAGAGAGAGAGACAGACAGAGAGAGAAGATATATCATCATCAAACTAAAATTGATTAGTGACAGGTGACCTTTTGTTCTTTATTTTCTTTTCTATTTTTTCCTACAATATAGCTGTGAGACAGATCACCTTTTGGGTATTACTAGAGAATCTCATATCTAATTTATCCCAAATTTATGAGAGGTTTTCATGGAAGTTAATTTTTGCTTTGGTCTAAAAGAAATAATCGTTGAAATCCAGAAAGAGCATCATGAAGGTAATAACACTCAGTGCATAGAGTCTGTAGGCTGTGCTCTGGATTCTATGTGATAATGTATGTAAATTACCAGCCCAGATTCTGGAATGCAGTGTGGACTTAATAAAGAAGATTATTCTTCAATTTATTCTCATTGCCTAAAGTATAAAATTCTATTAAAACAAAACAAAACAAAACTTGGCACTTATGTCTCTGTACAGTTTGTTTCCATGCTGTTTTCTCACTGTATTTTCTAGTGTTCTCCTAGGTCGAACATGTGTTCCAGCTGGCCCAGGCCTCTTACTGTCTCTAAGATGGCTTGATCATTTTTGCCCGCCACATTTTTAGTGCTGCTCTCCCACTGAAATTTACGAATCTTTCCTTTGTCTAAATCATATATTTGTTTAAGCCCAAACAAGATCAAACGTCTTGAAGGTCTCTGTCTCCATCTCAATCCATGTGACCTGTCTGTGCCATCACACCACAGCGTGTCTTGTTCTCGGCTTGCATGTGCAGGTGACACTCTCTGCTCTTGGGAAAAGTCTACTTTAAGTGTAGATGTCTTGTCTCCTGGGCAGCTCAGCAGTGCCCTGCAAGGCTGGCAAATTTGACACCCTCTTCTTCACATCTTCCTGGGTAACTGAGGTGTGCAGCAGCAACTTGAATAATCCACAGTAATCTGAATAATTCACAGCCTGTGTTTCTAAATGAATACTTTTTGGGGAGATCTAAAGTGTACAAGAAACAGAGTTACTGTCTTCATTTTATCATATGTCAGAGCTTACGTTTTAGTAGATAATATTTGAGTTAAATTTTATGGGAAAATGAAATCAAAATGTTGCCTTCCTCTTCTTTCAAAGTAGTAGCAAAAAAAAAAAAATGTTGCCTTCCTAGAGATCAAAATGTTGCCTTCCCCTTCTTTTGAAGTAGTAGCAGAAAAATGGAAAGCCTTCACTATTCTCCTAGACAGGGGTAAGTGTCAGGTTCTGCAGAACCCGTGAAAATAGCTTTATTTACAAGAGCAGTACTTGCAGGGTCAGAGGTCTCTTGGTGGTAAAGAAGGAAGTGCTGGGACCTTGGTGCAAGAGTCTGGAGAGGTTTTTATTCAGCAGGAAGGGGCAGAAAAGGACCCTCTGCCTGTAGAAAGGAGCTGAAATCAGACCTCTTATATCTTGAATGCTGAAAAGGAAAAAAAAGCTTAACGTTTAGGAATGTTTATTCTCAGGCAGGGAGTGGATACAGTCTACCTCCAGGAAGAGTGGGGAGGTGATGTCAGACCTGGTTTTGGCCCGGAGTCCCAGGCTTGGATAGCCTGGGAAGGCTGTGTGTGGGACTGAAAGTGCAGGGGACTAGGAGCTGACTACCTGCACTAGCAAATTCTGTGAGGGGGGTCTACTGGGGGGAATAGGGGAGGGACAGCAGGTGGGGGGGAGCTGGGAAGGGATAGCCAGGGGAGAAATGCCAAATGTGGGTGAAGGGGAGGAAGGCAGCAAAACACACTGCCATGTGTGTACCTATGCAACTATCTTGCATGTTCTGCACATGTACCACAAAACCTAAAATGCAATTAAAAAAAAAGAAAGTTAGCTATTGGGTACAATGTACACTATGCAAGTGATGCACATGCTAAACGCACAGACTTCATTACTATGCAATATATCCATGTAACAACACCTGTACCCCTAAATCTATTTAAAATAAAAATTAAAAAAAAAAAAAAAAAGAAGGTGGAGGAGCTGCCTCCAACAGCAACACAGTGAGGCAGTGGGAAGTAAGGACAGTAGCAGATCAAATACCAGACTGGTCTTGCTTAGATTTGGACTCCATAAGTCTCTAGGTTTTAGAAGATTCAGGGGTACAGAGGCAGCCTAGAGGAAGATCCTGACTTTTTTTCTCATGTACTAGATTGGTATTTGAACATTTAATTTGAATATTAAGAGATATGACTATTTTACCACAACTTTGTGGAGCAATTCATATTGGTTATGTAAGTTCTATGCCAAAATGTGAAATCTATGAGGCACACAGGATAAAAAGCACTATGTTGTTCTAATAAATAGGAGTTAGACAGTATATATCATGACTAAAAAATGTAAGGCCAAGATTCTCAATGTAGAGGGATTAATATTTGTACTAATCTCAGATTTCTGGGGTTCCATTTGGTACAAATCAAAAAAGTGGCATAGGGAGTTAAGAAAGGTGATGTGTCACCTGGAAGCAGTCATTCCCTCCTTGACCCTGGCACAAAGCTTTCTTAACCAGGAAAAAAATATGAGACCTGGCTGAAAAGTGTAAGAAGTAACTCTTGTCTGCTTTGGGTAAAAGATGGAGGAAGAAAATAGAAATACAATGATTAAGCAAATAGTTTTTTTTTTGACTTGGAGCCTAACATCAACAATGACAGTTCAGAGAAATGAAAATTGAAAAAAAGATGATAGAAAACAGTTATAAATATAAGCTTCTGTGATTTATTTAAATTTAAATAAATATAAATTACTCAAAATCCAGGTACCAATTTTTATTAAATATAGGTTTAATATTACTTTAGACCCTGTAGTTACGAAATGTGTTCTTACTAAAGACCTGGAGCAAGAAACACACTCTCTGCCTTTAGGACCTAAAAACCTGACTGATTTGTGACTCAGTGGCCTTAAATAATCAGTGATGTTTACAAAGATGCGATATTCACTGACTTGTTATTTATAGTAGTGAAAAACTAAAAACGACATAGATAACTGGTGACTAAGGATTGGTTAAATACGCTCTGGCAAGTCCATATGATGGAATGCTATATGACAATTAAAATCGTAGTTCAATATACCCTGAAATAATAAAGGCAGAGGTAGAACAGAATGGCAGAATAGAAGGCTTCACTGATTGTCCCCCCTGCAAGGACACCAACAACATAGAAAAAA